TTTGACAAAGAATTTGTTGTCGAAACGGACGCATCGGGTTTTGGGTAGGGTGTTGTGTTAATGCAGGAGGGGCGTGTAACATCTCACTTAAGAAACCCCACGTTACCAATTTTATAAAATCTCCAATAAAAAAAATTAATTGATTAACCTCAAAATACGGGATATTAATTTTCTTAAAAAAAACTTCAAAATATCCGTTCTATTTTAGTGATAGAACCACCCAAAACACAATTTCAAACCGGACATAACAGATTTTTACTTATAACCCGAATTAAGTAGCAAAAAAAAATACGGGACATACTTATAACCGGAACGAGACTATGTACAAGCTACACTTACTATATCTATAAGATACGGTAACAAGCTACTATTTACCAAAAGCAAGTTCGTAAACTTTAAGTCCCCCGATAAATTTTCAAGTCAAACAACGGGTTCTTTCTTTTTATCCGTCTTCTTTCTTGAGAGGGGTTGACACTTAAATGGTAAGGCAACGCTTAGTGAGTTAGATAGTTAAGTATTACATATTAATATCGCACATGTTTATAAACATACATAATAAACTCTTATCAATAAAAGAGTTTAAGACATCATCTAAATGCAAACCGAGACTTACAAGAAACCGAGTGAACAATTACGTACAGGATGCTAAGATCATAGAATTCCATATCCAAATCACTATAATATACCATACCATTGATGCTCAATACAACAAGGAAACAGGATCAATAACCAAATATATTCAACAACGTTAGAATACCAATAAATATCAAGAACCAATAGATCGAATCGGTAAACATAACGAGGACAGTGCATCACCTCGTCCTTCACCTTCCAGGTTCATGCCAAAGTCCGAGTCAGAATCGTACATTACGGGAAACCTCGCACTGCCATCCTCTACCGGGTATGTGCCAAGGTTCCCTACTCATTGCTCTTCCTCCTTTTTGAGCAATGAGTATTCACAACCGCAGAAAGTCTCACTCATCCAACCCGGGATCTTGGCTTCGCCATAAAACTTCCGGCATGTCACACGAAATAGTACCCGTACTATGGCGTACAATTCAAGGAACAAAACAACAAGTCCGGATCCGGAAAGCAAACCGATGTAACGAGATCATAATATGGAATAGACTCAAGAGACGGAATCAAAGACAAATCAAGATCGTGTGACTCAATTCAAGACCAAAAACATTCATATGAAAATATATATATATTCAAAACAATATGTAACAATTAACTATATAACTCACCGAGCAACCGTATAATACCGAAAATCTCCGAAATGAGCTCACAAAGCAAGTCCAAGCTACCACACTTAGAATGCTTCCAAAGCATCAAAATATGTCCTAATTACCCCCTGGAGTGAATGTACAAAATCTCATAAGCAACCAATATAAGAAACTTATGTTATACACATATCCTATTTGAACATTTTACCTAGATTTCTATGTACAGCTGCTACTTGCAAAACTTTTTTGCCCATTTTAAACTCGAATTCATGACTTGATCATAACTAAACTCAATTATCTAACTAAGGAAATTGGCCTCACCTCATTTAGATTTTTCTATGATTTTATACAGTTTTTCAAAGTCTGCACATTTTCAGTGCATTCTTAAGTCGAAATTCTCATTTTCATACATTTTCTTTTCAAACCATTTCGATTCCAAATTATTCCAACTTCTGAATTTCAACTTAATATAACCTATTTGACATAAACAACCAAAATCCAACTTTTATTTTATCATTTATATTCTCTCCCAAATCATTGACTTGATCAAGTCAAAGTTCATATGATGAACTTCCTTAAATCTTGATAATCTTTTGAATCTAATGATCATTTCATGCCATAATTACTAAAATGTACTCATTTTATACACTTAAGATCAAACCCATATGAAACCCTAACTCTTTCTCAACATGCAATCCATATAACAAGAATGTCAACCAAGAACAAGTGCAAAAATGGATTATACCTTTACTTGATGATCAAATCCTTCAAAAATCTTGTAATTCCTCTTTGATTTGAGTTTAATCGAGCCTATGTGTGTGAAGATCGCACCTCTAGTGTGTGTGTGTGTGAGTTCTGGACTCAAAATGACATGAAAAATGGGCCAAAAATCCAATTTCTTATGCTAAAACCCGAGTTGGGTCGGGTTGACCTGGCTAGGTACCCATTTTGACTATCAACACTTAAAATATTCATAACTTTTCGCTCGGACCTCCGTTTTCTATGAGATTTTCGCTTACACATTCATAAAGAGATAATCTATATCATCCAACAAAAATATTCCAGAAAAAATCTCCCAAAAAAATCAGTTTTACGTATCTATTTGACGTGAAATTTTCCCAAATCCTCTCATATATTCCTAAGAAGTATAATTCTAAAATTTCAAACCCAAACTCCCACTAAATCATAGGTTCTCTTATAAGGATATTACTAAAACACTAAGTAAAATTTTCCACTTTGACATAACATGCATCACAACTTCTGACATAATATTCTCTTTAACATAATATTTAAACATACTTAGCAAATAATTTAGATATATTAGAAATTGGATGTTACAGGGCGACCGTTAGCATTTTTCAGCCATGTGTTGGGAACCCGCACACGACTGAAATCGGTTTATGAGAGGGAGTTGATGGCGATCATAATGGCAATTCAGAAATGGAGACTGTACTTACTGGGTCGCAAATTTTTAGTGAAAACGGACCAACGCAACCTTAAATACCTTCTCGAACAGCACACAGTTACCGAAGAACACCAGAAGTGGTTGTGCAAACTCTAGGGTACAATTTTGACATCGTGTACCATCCTGGAAAGGAAAATAGTGTGGCAGATGCTCTTTCACGCAAACCAGCCGAGGCACAACTAACCGTGTTGACCGCTTCGTGGAAAGTTGACTGGAATGGGTTAAAGAGAGACATATAGGACGGTGCAGAAATTCAAAGTCTGAAACATAAAATTGCAGAGGGTGAGTCGATTCCGGAGGGGTACACCGTTGAAGGTGGGAATCTCCTGTTTAAAGGTCGGCTAGTGTTACCAAAAAGTTCGGGGTGGATTCCAGTGTTGTGTCGCGAGTTCCATAGCAGCATGATTGGCGGTCACTCCGGTGTGCAAAAGACGTATCAGCGGATGGCCCGTGAGGTGTATTAGTAGGGCATGAAAGGCGACGTCGCTAGATTCGTAGCCGAATGTGACGTATGCCAGCGACAGAAATACTCAACTATGGCGCCTAGTGGATTACTACAGCCGTTGGCCTTGCCCACAAGAGTATGGTCAGAATTGACCATGGATTTTATCGACAGGATGCCCCGCTCGGAAGGGTTCACAGTCATCTTTGTTGTGGTGGATAGGCTCAGCAAATATGCTCATTTCATTCCTCTAAAACACCCGTACACGGCACCGATGGTGGCAGCAATTTTCATCAAGGAGGTGGTCAGGTTGCATGGCGTACCTGAGTCAATTGTTTCAGACCGAGAGGTCTTCTTGAGTAATTTCTGGAAGGAACTATTCAGATTGCTGGGCACTACACTCAATAGGAGTACAGCGTACCACCCGCAGACGGATGGACAAAATGAGGTGGTCAACCGATGTGTTGAAACTTACTTACGTTGTTTTGTTGCAGATACACCAAAAAAAGGGGTCACGTGGCTTCCCTGGGCTGAGTATTGGTACAATACGTGTTTTCATACATCCACCAAAACAACCCCTTTCCGCGTGTTATATGGTCGTGACCCACCCAATCTGTTGCATTATGGAAGTGTGCCAACTCCAGTTAGTACGGTTGACCAATACTTACTAGAACGTGATCAAGTCTTGCAGGAGTTGCGAGGTTATTTGTTTCGCGCACAGCAACTGATGAAGACACGGGCTGATGAGCATAGGCGTGATGCTCAATTTGCAGTAGAGGATTGGGCTTATTTGAAGCTGAAACCGTACCGCCAGCGTTCAGTAGCTAGACGCCAAAATGAAAAGTTGGCCCCGCGGTTTTTGGGACCTTTTGAGGTTCTGGAAAAAATTGGTAAGGTTGCATACCGTTTGAAGTTACCAGCATTCGCCCGAATCCATGACGTGTTCCATGTGTCTCAATTGCGAAAGGCCATAGGCAACCGAGTGGCGGCGCCCCAGCTACCAGCAACACTAACAGAGGAGATGGAAGTTTTACTACAGCCGGATCGAGTGGAAGGAGTTCGTGATGGGACTGGGGGACAAGAAGTCTTGATACGTTGGACGGACTTGCTTGAGTACAAGGCAACTTGGGAACCGTTCGAAGCTATCAACCGCCAGTTCCTGATTTCCACCTTGAGGACAAGGTGGTAGTTTGGCGGGGGAGTAATGATGTACCTGGACGATATGGTCAGGTTTACCAAAGGAGACAATTAAGGCAACAAGGTTGAGAATGGAATATAATCTCCTATTTTAAGCATTTATGTTATTTCTTTTATTGGCAGAATTATTTCTTCTTTTTAGAGGTTCCCTTTTTGGTTTAGGTTTCCTTGTTAGCAGGACACTATAAATATGGTGCTCCATTGTCTCTTGTATTTTCACGCAATCAATTAAGAGAGTCTTTGACTTTTGTGGAGATTACCTGTTCTCGAAATCAGGCACTTCTCGGGTCCTAACCCCATGGTTGATTCGGTTCTTATCACCCTGATTTAGGCAATTCTTTGAGAGATCTTTTTGACAGTTCAATCGAACTGGATAGATGGACATCAGACCTGAAAGATAGAGCCCCAAAATATTGATTGTATTTGGTTTTCCAGATTGACATCAATGATTAAAATAGTATTTGACATTCTTTATTAAAATACGACATAAAGTTCTTATTATATTACCAAAGGGCCTTTGGCCTAGCGGTATCGTAGCCCTTGGCCTTCTAGGAGGTCAGGGGTTCAAACCTCAYCATAGGTGAGGAGGGTGTGTGAGTTTATTTGTTGCATTTGCCGTATATAAATATTATATACTTCAAAAAAAAAGTTCTTATTATATTACCAAGCTAATAAGAAGGCATTTTCACTCAGAAAGAACACCCACTCTAACACATTTTACTATTAATTCATGTTATAACTATAGAACATAATCTCATAAACATCCGCAAAAGCAGGCAAAAAGTAAGCTTCCAGCATATCAGGAGCATTCATATACAAAGTTGTTAGGGATAAACTTTTAAAACAGAACAAAAAATCCAAATATAGATAAGAAACCTGAGTGCATTAATATGTTCAGTATTTTGGTCACTTCACCGTGACACGGGTTTCTCCTTCGTTGGATCAATATCATGTGGCGCTGTGGTCATCATTGGTTAATTTCTGGATTTTATCATCAGCATTCCGTAACTGCCTGTAATTAGCCATATGTGAAATGATGGATTTGTTTTACTTCTCCTAGGAACATTCTTATGGATCACGATGTTTCAAGGAGCATCAAGATTTCTTTAATATGTAATGATCTTCTGTTCAGATATCAAAGACTCACCGAGTATCATCAAAGGATTTTACATGACCTGTCTCTGTGTTTTCAATTTGAACAGGTATGTCTCTGCTTAGCACTTTGGGTGGCGACTTTGATCTACAAGTAGACTTGCTACCAGATTCTACACTTCTTGAACCAAATTCCCTGTAAAAGTCTTAAAATCGGGTTTTCTTCTTCCTAATTTTTGATAAAGTTACTTGAACTACAAGAAAGTCTCACCTTTCTTCAAGTGCAGGATTATTTGGTAAGGTGCTCATTCTTGTGTTGCCAAAGGAGATGAGTTTTGTCGAAGAGAGTGATGGCTACGTATATTCTTGCTTTCTTTCTCTGATTGCAACTCATCTATTGTGGTTCCACTACATAAAATCAGCAAAATAGTTACACCTATGCCTAGCATAAAGTTCAAGCTCATATCCAAAACTCCTGAATTTTAATAAATTGTATTATTATAATCTGCTCATATTCTAGTTTCAGATATTTCTTTTAATGATGGTCAAGTGTACTCGGTTTAAACTGTGAATTAGTCCGATTGCCAATTGTCTACGACCAAGAAAGGTAAGTCCAAGTCCAAACATTGCTTACATAGCCAGCAGAAAATATATACTTAGTCTCACCTGTCCAGAGAACCCATATGAAGTTTCAAATTTGAATCTGCATTCCTCCTATCAATCATTTCACCATGAGACAAATCCTCCATCCCATGTGTCATGGAACTTTCAAGATGTGATTCAGTTTTACTTGTGTCATCACCATCGTTATGGCCAATAAGTACATTATCATCCATCACCTTGGACATTTCACCCTTTTGACTTTCTGAATTCATATGTTCTGATGAATTTTCAAATGATGAACTTCTAGTAGGTACCAATTCATCAACATGCCTCACATTACCACTTTGCTCATCACTTGTGATCGAGCTCCCCATTCTAACCACATTTCTGAATTCTTCTTCTTGCACATCTGAGGTAGTACCTTGAGTAGAAACATTATCAGCTAAAGAGTGAGCATATAAATCATGAACAACATGCTGAGCATGAGGTTCTGGAGAAGATCTCTTCTCTGATGATCTAGATTCTTGTATAGGTTCCTGAACGATACATGAAATTATCGTCCCAGGTGAAAGTGTTTTGTTTATCTCTTGTTCTTCAGCCATTGCAGGTTTTAGAAGACAGCTTTCATCTATTACGGATTTCAAGTGTTTATCCTCATTTCTGGGATCAGAATCCTTAATAATATCCATTTGAATGTCAACCCTTGAAATGGCAACATCCTGTGACGACATACCATTATCCTCTGATGCATCAAAGTTTTTTTAGCCAAAAAGTCTCCAGAACCTCCATTACCACTTGTGTTTGAGTGTCCTTCCTTATCTTTAGATTTGTTAGACTTTTCATTTACTTTAGTCTTTCTCGACTCAAAATCAAAATCTGCAAACCTTCAAAAACATAGACCAAGCGACTTAAAAAAACTAAGTTAACATATTATTATTTAACACAGAAAATACTCCAAAACGACTTTATAAAGTAACTCTTCAAAATCAAATTTGAATGCAAAGCTATCTCTCTTTGCTCGAGGCTCTCCACCAGAAGATACTTATTTAGATCCTTCCTTTGATTTTTCAGATGGGAAAGATATATCAAGAGCAGACATGTCTATCTTGAAAGATGATAACTTGTCAAAGCCGGCATCAAGAGAGAAATCGATATCCGTGGAAGAAAAATGTTATTGGAAATTATTATATATTCTGGAGTGACTAAACTTCCGGAGGATGTTAAGATTTATATTGAATAAACAGTACTTATGTCTTCATTCCAGATACAAAATTTGAGCCATTTCTCCAGATTGGCAAAAAGTAATAATTTCTGAGCTACTATCAAAGTAAATATGCAACTTTAAGGTTTTTTGCCGCTTACATTTTGTCAAATTTAAAAGCCTTTTTCTTCCCTTCAGTGGTTGGTCCAAAGTCAAAATCCATTCCGTCATCTGCTCAGGACATCGACTTCCATGATCCAAGAAAGTCTTTTCCAAAATCTATATCTGCTATTGAATGAAAAATATTACCGAGCCCTCAGTTTTACCAACAAATTGCACAATAGTTACAGATGATTAATGTATAGATAAATTTACAAAATATATCTATTAGCTAAAGATTATCTTAAAAATTGTCAACTAATTCCTGTAAGAGGAAGGCCAGGGACTTCTTGGGGAATTTACCAGGCAGTGAACTTTTCTCTTTCGGATCGACATATGGAGTTGCTGTTTTCGGAGATTCCGACATCTGCATAGCAGTTTGATGATATGTCATTTAATTCAATGTACACAGATGGATTGGTGATAGGAAAAAGAAAAATAACAAAAACAATTTTGCAGTTTCGATGAGCATTATATCCAAAAAGTCTCTTCAAATTAGTTTTTGGAGAGAGTAGAAAAGATATGGTAGGTAATATAAATGATCCATTACTATCAGGCCTTAATTGCAACATGCAAGCACCTATACGTATACCTCTTATGTGAAATCAGTCACAAACAATTCAACTAACAAGTTACAATTACATAAACATTACGATAGCCAAATTAAAATCAGTAACTCTAGTGACAATCTGGACATCGGAGGCCTCTTGTCGAGTTATATAATGACACTAAACAGGATAAACGATTGAAACACATAGGGTTTCAATTAAACTACGGATGTAGCAGTTGATTTTAACCATTAACAATAATAGCAGATTAACATGTCTAATGTGTTCAAACATCCAGATAAAATTCTGCAATCGATCATAGCCAATCTGTCAAAATGCTGTCGAGATCTACTCTATAATTTGCAATTCATAATGTTTCGAACAGAAACATAGGGCATAGTTGATCAGATTCAACCAGCGATAAACAGCAATAGATTGAAGATGGTTACATAGGAAGAGAGGTGGAGAGAAGAAACCTTCACCTTGACGTCGGCAACTGTATCTCTGTATGCGTTTCTGATTTGCCGCTGGAATGCTTGAACCGGTAGGCTTATATACGCTTGAATGCTGGAATGGTTGGCTTTTCAAAAAGTTGCATTATATTTGTTTTTTTAATATTTTGATTAATTACTATTTCAAGATAAATAAATTATATCAAAATAAAATATATTTTAAATGTTTAATTTGAAAAACATGCTAAATTTTAATTAACTAAAAAAATATGTTATATTTTTTATGCAATTATAATTTTATAAACAAAAAATATAGATTATAATTTTGAAATTATCTTGTCACATCCATCAAAATAAAGCTTTTGTAATTATATTTTATAAAATAAAAATCATTTTCTAAATTATATGATTTCATATCTTAAAGATTAAAAAAATCATATTTCGAATTATTATATTTATTTTGAAAAATATGAATACAAATTGACTAATAAGTTAATCCATAAACTAACAACAGGACAATTTGACAATCGTTGATTGGTTTGGTGCAAAATGGTTTGGTACAGAATGATTAAGAGGCTCTCATGATATAGTATAAAATGAAATATAATTGTTTGGTAATTATTTACAATGAAATTAGAACGTTGAATGGTTAAGGAAGACACAATATACAAAATCATTTAGAAGATTTTTAGAATCATTAAAGGGCAGACTTTTTTTTGCCAAACAAGATTCACCTCTTAACGATTCAAATGTTACCTGTTAATAGAACTATTAATAGATAAACAAACAACCTCATTTAATAAAAACTAATTTATATAATATTAGTTATATTATATGACAGTTTTATATAATACCCTACAGCTTATTGAAAATATAACCAATTTTTTTAGTAAACAAGTCGCAAGTCTAGTATTCATTGTAAAGAAAATATAAAATAACGATATTATATTTTTTTCAATTACAATTATACCCTTGTAATCACATCAAAAACTATGCTCACCAAACAAAGTACCGTCTAAACATATAAAATCATTTGACTATCAAAACTCAAACATGTTAAACCACAAAATCCTGTCTATTTAACCATCCAATTCTCTCCCTTTTCCTGGGCAACAAAGCCATACAATTCAGTCAAGACTTTTCTACCATTTGCAACACTCATCATTTATTCATTTCCATACGAACCAAAAGTTATCGTACGAATCAAACATGATTGATTCAATGTATTCTGATCGAGCTCAAAGGAGAGGGACCCGCCGTGTTCCTTAACTCTGATGCGTTCTTTTCTTGGTATCAGATACATGGAACATAAGCTGAAAACGAATGAAGCTTTTAAGTTTTATAACTCAAAATTGCAGTAACCAACTCTGGTAAAATGTCTAGAATACCCTTCCTTGATGACAAAACAGAGAGGAAGTGTTTGAAATCAACTATTAGGGTTTTAAAGTGATGCAAATCTGATCAACCAAAACCAATATCAATTAAGACTTTTGTAGCAACCTAGATAAGACCTTGAGTTTGCTCGTGGCCTCTCTGGAGGTCACCGGTTCATGTCCCTTCAGAGCCACCAGATGGTTTGCGGGTATGTTACCCCATGGGATTAACTGAAGAGCGCTGCCCCAGACAAATACGGTTACCAAAAAGAAAGACATTTGCAGCGATTCTTTGGTGACAACATGATGAAATTTCACCAAAGGGTCATTGGCCCAACGGTACTCGATTAACGATGGAGCCCAGCCTCCTCCCAGGATGTCAAGGGTTCAAAATTCACCAAAAGTGAGGATTATGTGTGATTATTTGTCGTCTATAAATATTATATACTGCCCTTGTCCCAAAATAAGTGTCCACTTGTAAAAATAAATGTTTGCTTTCCTATTCTACCCTTAATTAGGAGACGAATAACATCTCTACTATTAAGGGTAAAATTGTCATTAGTTAGTTAAAAAGTCTACTAATTACACATTCCTAAATCTGTGTCTTCTTCATTGTGGACACTTACTTTGGAACAAAGGGAGTACTTTAAAACATAGTGAAACTGTAAAAAAGTTTTCCAAAAAAGGGGAACTTTGAGAGAGTTTTTAAGGCATCCGATATGCAAGAATGTTGCAAGTTTCCATATGGTAAGAAGGGTAGAGGATACTGATGGTTCTTTACCTTTGTGCCAACATAAAATGTTACAAGCAAGCCAAAAAGAGTAGGTAGTCCTGAAAAAGTAACAAGATTTTTGTTGTAAGAGTATGTGAAAATGATTAGGATTTGTACAAGAGTAAGAAAAGACCAACCTTCGGCCTGAAGAAATACAGACTTTAGCCAACTTATGCCTGATGGTCCAATCACAAACCCAACAAGGTTAGCCACCTGCAAAATACAAAGCCTCAAAATTGCTCCACAGATGGTTCAAGAGGAAACTTCTAAAACTAATTGATGCATATGTGTAAATATTTTTGGATTTGAGGTCGAAAAACAACTTCCTAGATTACAAACTGAATATTAACTTTGTTAGATATTTAACATAAACAAATAGTCGGGGGGGTCTTCTCGGAAACAACCTCTGTCTCATTTGACAGAGGCACGTCTGCGTACATGATACATTTTACCCCCGGGACCGTACTTCGGGTGGGATATACCAGTCTTTTTTATTTGGTTTAGTTTGGTTTAGATTGTGCAAATAGGTAAATAAATTTCTGCATATCATTGAGAAGAAATGTACATGAATATATATTACTACTAGGAAACTATGTGGCAGTACCACTACAGGCAACGGAAGAATGCAGGGAACACCACTAAAGACGTCTTGCAAAGAGAAGAGCTCAAAAAGAATTCATGACTTAAGGTAGCATTTGATACACATACATGGACAAGACTGGACTGGACAGGACATGGAAAAGACTGAACTGGACAGGACAAGAGGGTAGAACAGGACAGGACTAAACAAGTGCGTGTCTGGTGTTTGGTACGGTTAGGACTGGACTACCAGAACTAGACAAGTCGCCCCTAAAAGTTATTTAGTGATTTTATATATCATATAATAGTTATAATTAGCACAAATAAAATAAATAATTAAATAATTTAATTTCTAAACATTTTTACACAATTTTCATATACATAAATACATACATATATAATAGTACCAAATTTGAAAGAAAATTTAATACAATTGATGGTAGTTTGAAAAAAATCCAATTCGTACAAAGGAAAAATTATGTTTTATGCGGTTTGGAAGATCCTTATCAATTGACGAAGGCACCATGAAGATTGTTGCAACAACAATGGTTGTTGCGGTAGAGACTTTGGTGATTGGTGAACGATGGTAGTTGTGGAGGACGTGAAGATGGTGGATAGTGGTAGTGGTAGCCAATGGTGGTGGCTGACGGTGGTAGTGGTTAGGGTGGAGGTGAGGTGGCCCATTGTGGTAATGGTGGTGGCATTTCCTACGTCATTTGCTAAGTATTGCAGTATACTAGACTGTGGTGCAAGACAGCGCATATGTCAAATCCTGCTGCAGCTGCACGAGCCCTTCCTGCATGCCACAAATGCCGCAATCACTATTTTATCTCATGTTGTTCTTCGTCCATGGTTCGATATGATGAACGGTGGTGGTTGGTGTGCCGAATAGTGGTTATGGAGGTGGTGGAGGAGGTTACTAGTAAAGGAGAAGGTGGAGGTGGCCATAGGTGGTGGTGGTGGTGATGAACAGTGATGGTTAGTGGCCGACGGTGGTTGTGGAGGTGGTTATGGAGGGTGGTGGTCGGTGGTCGATTGCGAAGGTGGTGGAGGAGATTGTTATAGTGGATGAGGAGGTGGAGGTGGCCGACGGTGGCTACCGGTGGTAGCAGCGGACGCGACTAGCAGTGGTGACCACTAAAACGAATATCATATAAAGGTTATATATCAAACGAGTGTTAATTAGTAATAGTTTAGTTTCTGGCTCATTTTTGTCCCACCTTGTTCCACTTATTTTGGTGGAAGAAGAAAAAGTTTTTTTGTCCCACCTTGTCCCGGTTCTTGTCCTATGTCGCACCAAACGTGGGACAGTGAGTTCTTGTCCTGTACCATGTTGCGCCAAACATGGGACAATGAGTTTTGTCCCGTCCTGTCCTATCCCATGTACCAAATGCAGCCTAACAGATTTGAAATCAGGAGAGAGGACGGCCACGAAACTAAAACCGTTATGTTTTCTCGTTGGCTTAGTTGAACTTACACATCAAGGCTCAGTGACATATTAAGTTCCTCATGTCTTCTTTAACCCCGTAAAATAGTTTATAAGAGACTCATCTGGTTTTCTCAGACGATAAAAAGCTTTGCAAAATTTATACATGTGGGAGCAATTACAAGAATTCCAAATTGTTGTCCCATACAGGTTAGAATTGGGCCATTTCTTCTCCACATTTGTTGGAACCTCCTTCTCTCCTCAAGGGCTCTTTTGGAGAGTAATCTAATGGAGTTCCACATATTCTCACATGGTATCAGAGTCAAGGTCTACCATTCTAGGGATTCGATAGTCAGTGGCAATTTGTATCCTTCTAGCCCCCTCACCCGTCTAGCCCCTCTGGACACTTTAGGACAATATGAGCCCATCTAGCCTTCATTATAGGGGGCATGTTAGAGTCCCACGTCAGCCAGACTTGGACATTCTCTGCATATGGAACCTCCTTTCTCTCCTCAAGGGCTCTTTTGGAGAATAATCTAATGGGGTGCCACATCCAGACAAACAATCTGTTACTTCTTTAACAAATTCACAGTAATTGATGAAACCAATTACCTCATTATTACTAGAGTTTGGAATTTGAAGAATAAGTGAGCATCCTCTCTAAGTCATTTCCGATCATCTTTCCGCTTCAAACCGATTTTAGACGATCATCAATCAAATAGACATCTTTCTCGATACTCTAGATACAGACGAACAGTCTTACTTCAGTCCAAATAGTTCGAACCACGTATCATATGGTCCTGTGATTTTAGACAACACTGGCACCACATCTGTACCCTTGTCATGCAAAAAGTTCTGTTTTTGACCATAGTGTCTCAATGAAGTGCTAAAAATCTGATTACTAGATGAAGCCCAAAAATCGAACAAAACTAAATCAATTTTCTTGAAATCGACCAAACACGACAGAAGTACTAGTTAGATCGTTAAAAAAAGTATCAATAATTCTTCAGCCCTCAGAGATTGACTCTTAACTTCTAGGAAGAACGTAGCATTAATCAAGATGAGTATCAAACCAACAAAATTAATATAACCCATCCGTTCCTGCCAAAGATCATAAAAGAATCTCACCAACCACGTAAATCGCAACACGAGACAAAACTACCTTCCGAAAAAACCAAGGGTCAAACAACTGAAATGTAAATCAGAGGCGTCACTGGGGGTGGAGAAGGTAGCTACAGCTAGGGTTTCGATCAGGAGTAATTGCACCTAGGATATTGATAGGCCACGGCAGCTACGGTTTAGAGCGACAGTGATGCGTTTTCTGAATCACGACCTTGGAAACTAGAAGTTTGAATTGGTGATGGCTAGGTCTAGAAAGATAAACCTTAATTGTCTACTTTTAGCTAACATAGCATTTGTTATCGAGTCTAATGTGCATCAGATTTTTCTTAAAATTTCAGAATCTATATTAACTTGTACATTAAAAATTAATCCATGTTGTCAAAAGCAAGCGTTCCTATATTCAGGAACATAGTGAACAATAGAACATCAAAGTAGAACTACAAGTAGGGCAGTTATATCAAAGATAATTTGAATAGAAATGTAAGAATAGGATACCAACCATGAGACAAGTGATTGTGATAGCACCAGCAACTGCACTAAGCTCACGGAAAATAAACTCCTTAAAAACGTTATCGACCTGCAAATGGAAAAGTTAGATGAGATGAATAGAAACTAACATAGTAAAAACTAATGTGTGATAAACAGAGCAAAATTGCAACAATCCCCTTGTCGGATGTCACATAGGAAACTTGCAACATTCATTTCATCGGAAAGTTTCCAGATTAAGTTGATACCTATTTATCCGTTATCATCATTATAAGTAACTCAATGGTATTAGTTTGAGTCCACAAGATTCTCTTTCTTTACGTTTATTAATGAAGGGTATTCCAAACATTTGACATAAAGTTGAGCAATCATCAAATCAAAAGTTGCCAAAATCTTGGGAGGGATGGCCAACGAACGTTCTATATATGATGTGATGCAACATTCTATACATGATGTGATGCAGAGGCATCCATGTTATTTTCAGCCAGTACAAGATCAGCCCATTTTATGTCTCCGGATCACCTTGCGTTTGATTCAGACACTTATTTTGGGTTTGAAACAATTAAAACAAGACCACCCCATTTTATGTCTCCGGCTCACCTTGGGTTTGATTCAGACTCTTATTTTGGGTTCGAAACAATTAAAGGTAGGAGTATAATTTTCTGGCAGCCCAAAGGAGATTAAGATTCTTCCTCATTTATGCTTCATTAATAGTCCTTTAATTGTTTTCCAACATTTGGTCTTTCTTTAGTCTTTTCATTTTTTCAAGAGTTATGTTTATCTTCCAGCCCTATATACGGGGTTCCAAGTTGTAGCTGGAAGACATCTTTTCTTTTTGAATAATGAGTTTACAATAGCTTGTGAAGCTGTTTTGAGTGTTGATACACAAAAGGAGTCGATTCTTGATTGTTGCTAGTGTGGTATTGTTGCTTTATCACTAGTAACATCAACCTTTGCCAATTTGGTTAATCTTGGTGGTGTTTAAGTACTTTATCCTTGATCTAATCAGGATGTTAATCTCATCCTAGTCTTATCCCACTTTTTACCCATCCACCTACGCATCATGCTGAAGTCAAAATTTCAACCTTGAAGCTCAATTCAAATCATATAAAATTCATTAGATCACCTGATAAGAAGTCGCTGCTGATTTCACAATCATTTCAGGAATAAAGAATATGCATGTCAACCATGCCCATGAAAGAAGTTTCCTGTACATAGCATTAACACTTGGACGTGGAGCAGGGAAAGAGTACGATAAGGAATAGCAAACTGAAGGTGAAATTGGGACAAAGTTAATTATACCATTCAAGATCATGCCATATGGCAACAAATGTGAAGACAACCCACACGTTCAAGAGCTTCCTTCGAGATCCCCCAAGGGGAATGTACATGTACCTATGCTCATCCCGTAAAACAAAGTATCTAATTCTTGATTTAAAAGAAAAAAAATGACGCTGATGGACCAAGGCTTCTCCACTTTCTGAGGGTTGGAGAAAGTTTGTATGCCAATAAAGTGTAATTATACCAATCATGTTGGTGACTCTCTGAGGCTTGCTCCTATATGTCATTCTCGATAACCGAAAAAAGAAACAGAAAAAAGTAGCTAAAAGATAACATCTAAAGCTTCTGTACCTCACGAGCCACTTGTTAAAGGAAGCATGCCAGTTTTTCCAAAAGCTTTCCAAGTTGTAGCAGTTATTTATACAGCGTGGCATATTCTCAGGGGCTTCAATACCACTTACCTATAGTTCCATATGGCCAAGAATTAAGTTAAGCAAGTGTTGACAAATTGTTGCAGTTCAAACTGCATAGATCCCTCCAAACACAAAACCAAGGTAAGGTCATATCTAGTTGCTATACGGCATTAAAATATTGCTAGAAATTGAAGGAATAAGCATCCCAAATATATTTACCAGTGCCCAAAAGCGGAAGTAGCGCCAGATGAGAAAAAATTTGAGCCACATGAAGTTTAGGACCTGTTACAATAGAATGAACTTTTAAAGTCTCAAGCTTGTCCAAATAGCTGATGAGATAGGAATAATATGTCATGTGCTTCCTAGCATCAAAGACAGATGCAAGAAAATCCTCAATTTAAGAACAGAGGATCCTGAAGCAAGGACTTTTCCATTGTGGTTCTACAAGATGGAAATTTGTACACAACACTGAAGGTTTCGCTTGAATATTTGGAATGTTCAACATATCAGTTTATTGGTTCCTTCAGAAACAGCCTTTCCAACGTTAGCAACATTTTTCATTTCAGTAGCTTGAACAACAGCATAAGAATCACATATTAATTATGAGGTGCACTGAACGTGTGGAACAAAACCTTTTGCTTGGGAAAGGTATCACTTAGATTTGGATCAACTACAAGAAAAAACTGATACCCATTCCGGACACAGTATGTTGTAGATGCTACATATATGATATAACAGTATATTAAGTGAGAATGTAAAATCAAGTACTATCAGCTCTCACCCCATATCCGACAATGAAGACCTCCATAGGTGATAATTGTTTCCAGATTCCACTGAATATTACAGCATAGAGAACCAATCAAAGACAATGGAAACAGCAAAAGTTAAAATAAAATATAGGGATGTCTTGTTGTTTAGACTCACCTAATAGCAAAGGCATTGTAATAGAAGAAGTGTGTCATTATTTCCATAAGGAACAGGCTAAGGACCCAACGAAAACCATACCAAGACACCTGTTTGAGGGTATAACTCTTCTGAGGTGTATCCAACTGCAAGAAAAGGAATCACATAGATGATATTCATGTTAGATTAACCAAAAGAAGGGATTTTGAATGCAGGACCGAAGCACTAAAGTTGCAGCTGGCTTAATAAATCATTCCCACAAGATCGTAGGTCCTGCACGCTTGAACTCAAAAGGGGGAACAATATTTCATGAACTCTATGAAAGGATATTGTTCGTTTAATGTAGCACCGAATGGGACAACAAAAAAGATTCCTTCCATTTACATCATTTTCCTCCGATCTCAAGTCTCAGTTTTGTAAGTCCCACCATTTCTTCCCTAATTAAGTAAACTGGACCAACTATTACGTCTTTATTTTATTTTTTTTAAAGAAAAAAATACAAGATTTTTTATTTATTTTTCGTATATTTTCACTCACATTGTGGTCCTCATAATACTGGACCCACAAAATGAAAATGTTTGATGACCAAAAAACGATTGGGACTTCATGACTACTACTGACCTATTTGAACTTTTCATTGATGATTTTTATGAACTTGAATCCAAACTACATACATTTAGTAACTAAAACTAAAGGTGATGATATAGAAAATATGATGTCATAGAAGCTGGTACTTACATCTATATATTATGTGCCATGGCATGCATTGTTTAGTTAATCTAAGAATAGCAGTGGGATGTCACAAAACCTGGGAGGCAAATGCGTTGAAGCTTATGATGGGCCCAGCTATATAGAGAGGTGCATAGAGCAGATAACATAGGTATATAGTATATGAGCACTTGTCACTCCCCACACTTCTCTCCTGCAAAAAGAATTATTTTCTTTAGAAAACATTAATATGATATAGAAACACTAGTGCCATAAAGAATTTAACTTGCCTGTAACATTCTGTAGCATGGTTTTCCTGAAGAACAGTTGATGCAGTGTTGAATGTGCTTCTGCAATCACCAGAAAGACCACATCTCAACTTAATCAGTCGGCACCTACTAGTTTATTACCAAAATCATGGCCGAAAGGAAATGGACCTAAATTAGATACCAAGACAGGCTCATATCTTACGTCTAGATGGAAAATACATATCATGGAATCAACATTAATGGTAGTCCCAGACAAGGAAACATAATAAAGACAGGATTCTGTCAAAGGAAGATATTTTCAAGGAAAATGGAAATAAAGGCTTGCGAACTGCAGTCTTGGCAACAAACATACCTCTTGATCAACATGCACATTGTGATCTGACCAGTGGTAGTCATACCCAAAGCTTATCATGCGCAAAACAACTACCAAAAAGGAAAAAGAAAAAAAAGGACAGTTGGTGAGCATAAGAGAGGTAGAGAAATGTCCAATATTTATAAGGGATATACATCGTAGTCCCTTTAACTTCCAGTAACAAGTATTAATAGATGCCCAAATAGGAACATGGGACTGTTATATAAAGGAAAAGAGAGGGCTACTCACATAAGCTAGATACAGATGTATAAATTTCCTAAATTAGTAAATGTATATCTGCTCCAGTATATCTAAGAAAGCATCTAGACATTTTTGGTAACTTTAGGAAATTCACATGTTTTTGTAACGAGAAGCACCAACCTACATGCTTATTCTTATAAGCAGAGGCTTGCTGAATTTCTGAAACTTTATAAAAACATGTTTTTCCTACTCATTCCATGAGTTTTATAAAGTTTCAGAGTCCTCACATAGTGATCTGAAGTGTGAAAAGAGCCAAATCTTTAGAAACAGATATACATAAAGCCAAATCAAGAGGACCCATGATGAAGGTGTTAGATATAGCAACATCAAGAGGACCCATGATGAATCCTCTTAAGAAAATAATTGAAACAAGAGGGGGACACAGAGAGAGAGAGAGAGAGCGAGAAGCAGCAAAGGGGAATGTTTAGTTAGTAGATCTGTCACCAACTTTTTGCACCATGGATCATTAGGAACACATATGTTGAGTGGCAGACCAATCATGTTAAAGGTATAACATGGAGCAAATTTAGACATGTTAAGACAATATTATATCATGTACAAGGAACAATCTGAAAGAAAAGGCATATCAAAGAACCATGTTATGACACTAGGCCAGTCATCCAACAGTTGTAGGTTTTTATCAACCAGCACATACAAACTCTGCACACCTTACTCTTATTAAACACAGCTTGCAACATGAATTCATTAAAGAACGCATGTATGAGGGTCTCTAATATGCTTAGACTATAAGAAATACTGGTGAAATTAACAAAAGAAGAACTAACATAGTAATGAAAAAAGTATAACACAATCAAAACTGAGAGCCCTAGGAGGAGCATCTATATATTGAAGAAAGATTTCAAGAGCTCATACACTAACAGAGTTAGTTGTGTCCGCACAGATCTAAAATGTCATGTGAAACAATAACCATACAAGTATAGCAATGAAGCATTACCAAGGCTTAGAGAGAGGCAGAGGTAATACCGAAGTTAAAGCAAATATGCCATCTGAAGGTACCCCTGAATTTATCCAGGTAAGCCCAACGTTCTCTGCATTGACAAAGTAATTAAAGCATCATAATAAAGAGTGAACAGAAATTACAGGACATGGCTATGAGTGAACCCATCAAGTGAAGTAACTAGCTACCAGAAATGAGAAACTAACCCAAAACTCGTGAATGAGTATCCCTCGTAAACACGGTTACAAAGAAGAAATGATAGGTTGAACACCCAAAGTACAAATGAGAAGTATTTTGTCCGTCCAAATATCTGCATTAAAAAGATCAGTAAGCAATGCAAATCATTTGTTATGAAATGGCAGCACTAATTTCTACAAAACTGAAAACACAAAATGACATTGCAAAAGGTCTAGATATGAGTTTATCTGATAAGGGTTTTAAAAGCCATGTGATGCTATCAAGCAGTACATATGGTTCTCCATCCATTTATTTTAATTTAATTATCTGTACAACTGAAGAAATCAAATAAAATAAGAATTACCTTTACGTTATTTATGCTGATGTTGAACAATGCCTAACCTATTACTAGTCAAAAGCATTGTATTACTTTGACTTTCACGTAAAATCATATCGACAGTGGATATCATGGGAAGCTTAATATGAAAATCCAGTTATTGGGTATCAGTACCTGCACTTTGTTAAGTAATAAAAATGTAGACTGCATAATGGCCTAATTCTGTCACTCTTTGCATGACATGATTGCTTAAATCCATTGTATGTGCTTTTAAAGCATGTAAGCTTGAGTTAATGCGTACAGCTAATCTAGAAACCTTAAATTAAAATCTCATCTCTCAAGTAATGAAATAACCCTAACCTTTGTCATATACAGATACAAAAGTTCGCCCTTTCTCATTTGGATCTTTCTCATAGCATCAGCAGACATAAATTGGACAATATGCCAATGGTACTAACTAGATGCTAATGAATTGAAGGATCAAATTAGAAGGATTCAAAGGATTGACTTTGATTGATCCACTACAACAACTTTAAGAAAAGGAATGATACAAATACTTTGTATTTCTTTCTCACTCCCAATCTCTCTTGTAGCATCTACAGACCACAGTACATTGTAATTTTCAGAAGTGCACATCTATATTGAAACAGCTAACAATGGGGAACCACTTTGGGATGCATTGACACTCATATCCATCAAAAGGTAATAACATTTGAATATAAGGACTTCACAAGCAAGTTTGACAGAATTCATAAGCGATGCACATGACTTATTTCTATTGCTAACCACTGGATAACAAAAAAGTACAACACAATTCTATATAAAATGGCATGAAAAAGCTTTTATGTAACTCTACCTTAACCAAAAGGAAATTGGCTGATGTGATTAAGAGGATAAAAAAAATGCTGCATTGAAATGAAATATGTTAGACAAAACCATCAACTCAAATCTGCATACCAACTATAAGTTTCATATTATCTCCGTCCAAAAATGTTCCACATTTGACTTTCAAGTGTCATATGAGTTGCTTTTTTAACTTTAAAAAATGAAAACCAAAATAAAAATTGTTGAAGATGAAAGTTGTTCGTATACTAAATCACAGAAGTGCAGGGTTACAATAGTATAAACCTTTTGAGTACAAAACCAAAACTATCCACGTCTGTTTTAAATTTGAAAAGAATGTCTGGATTTGTAGACCTTGTTTTGGGTAAAAGAAGAATTAAATAGAGGACATACAATGCTCCATGTAGATATGACAAATATGTCAATGAAATCAAAAGCCAAACAACGGACATCCCCTCTGCCTTTAAATTATAGCATGTCCTCAATATGTTAGCGATCAATGTGAGAAGTCCAAAAACAAAGGTAAGAATGGGCAAATTGCTGCGGAAATTTCTCCATTGTGCATCAGAGGCATCCTACGAAGAAAAGGAACAGAAAATTAAATTATGTTAGTTACCAGATTGGCATAAGATATTCAACTCCACAAGTCATGAATTTCAGGCAAATGGTCGAGACAGCTTCTACCAGATTCTAAATGCTTCCATTAATTGCTTCTTTTATGATTCTCAGAATCTGTGGTCTGTCAACAGATAGGGGGCTAGGGGATATAGGCATCACATGCATGTGAGGAATGAGGTATCATGGTAGAATTTGAGAACATAGCAAGATTGACTAGAAGCAAGAATGATACAGCGTTGCACAAGAGCTTTTGTCTATTAAGTTTAGCTGGCAAAGAAGCATGATTGTTCTTGCAGGATATGAGTGGATAGTAGGGATCTCAAGATCACAATCAGAGATAAGTTCCCTATTCCTGCCATTGATGAATTACTTGATCAGTTATATGCTGCTTGTTAGTTTGCAAGCTAGACTTGAGATCTGGTTACAGCACAAAGTTGATGAATAAAATAGAACTTATGTTGGATTAGGTAGTAGTTGTGCCTAGTATAATAAAGGCATAGAGGTGGTTTATTGGGTTTCTATGCTACTAGATAAAGTTTGTAAAGATTTATAGTATGGTGAGTAAGCACTTAATCAATTTACTTAAGAAGGATAAGTTTGAAGAATGAAGATACATAGGAAGCCTTTGAGAAATTAATCTTGGTTATGCCCCAGGTAGAAGATTGTCTGAATTTTCCTTTGCCATTTCATATTAGAACAGATGCTTCGTATATTATAGGCTGGGGCAGTGCTCATGTAAAGTGGAATGCACATCACATTTGCTAGTAATTAAGGTTGTAAGTCCAAGGCAATTAGGTTGGTCTACATATGAAAAGAAGTTAATGGCTGTGGTTCATGCTTTTGTACAAGGCTCATTGAGGTCATAGAGGAACTTACAAAAGAACTACTGAATTCTTTTTATAGAAGGACTATGATCATTTATAAGGGAATGTATAGCTCTTCAAATAGAAAAGCATGAGATGGTGTCAACTAGGGAGTATTGTATTACGTTTTCCGGAGATGCCAAGTGTGTATACTTCCATGGATATCGTTGAGGGCCTTACTAGATCAGATAGTATGACAGCAATGCTGGTGGTAGTGAACAAGCTCATCAAGTCTTGGCACTTTATTGTTTTGAAGCATCCTTATCTATTTTTTTTACATTAAATAGCTAAATTGTGTATATCATGTACATTAATTGAATTAAATAGCTAGTAAGACTGTGCGACACGACCTGGTGCTCCTTGGCCATTTTTCAATTCAGACGGTTGAGTACTAGGTCACAATTCAGTATAAGCTATAATCATGTGATGGCTAGAAGTAGAGCATGAATGCCGCATTGGGGTGGGATGTTACTTAAGGTGCACGGGTTATTCAAGGCTCTAGAGATGGTATACTTGGTTACCCCTGGCATAATGGCAGTTCAGCTGTCAGACCCTACGATAGTAGTGCAACAGTCTCGCCTTTTGAGGCTTTATATAGGTATAAGCCACCCTATGCATCGATATAGTTGTACATAAGGAAAAGAAGTGTTACAAGAGGTCAAGAAGAAACTAGAGTAGCTCAATCTAGAATCATGCATTATGACAATAACATGATGAAAGGGTACATTCTGTGAAGTTCATGTTAGGAAAACTTTCCCCTAGGTGCTTTGGTCCTTTTAAGGTATCGCAACATGTTGATCGAACATACAAGCTTAAGTTGCAATGCATGTCAAGGATCATCCGGAGTTCATGTTTCCATGTTGAAAAGAGGATAAGATATGAGTAGCTTGTGACACTTGAATTAGGCTAACATATGTCAACTTAGAAGAGCAATTTCCAGTATATGCAATGAGAAAAGAATAAGAAGAGCAATGTTCATTTGATTCATGTGAATTTCCTATGATTGAGACCAATACTTTCCTCAACTGAAATGCTATAAATCAATATTAATCAACATAGAGAACATACATTAAGCCGACTCGAGATCAATCCAGGTCGCAAACCATAAAGCTTGTTGTAATGATCTGTTATATCATTATGTCAAATCAAAGATGAATTAGGAACAAAAAGCATCATGGAATTTTGCTTTTGTATAGTAATAAGGAAAAAAAGTACAATAAAGAATAGTATATAGCAGTAAAGCTTTGGATAGTGCCTAACTACAAATATATATCTACCATCTGAGTACATGTGAGGGTCTGAGAGAGAGGGAGAGTACCATGGGACAGCTGGAGAGAATCACGAATGATGATAATGTAGAAGATAACTGCATACAGAAGTAGAAATACAAGCTCTCTTTGCCTCCATGAGTTATTCATGCTTTCCTAAACCAGAAACAACCCCCTCATGCTGCAGATATTTACATTCAGAAGCAATAAATCCCAACATGATAGCTTATAAAAAAAATCTGCACAATAATCAATAAAACTCAAGCAATGACCAACTGCAAGATTTTGTATCTCGGTCTAAGATGTCCTGGGATGATGGCCCCATTTGCAGAAGGAATTCAGGCTCCAATCAAATGGGCTACCATAGTAGTTCCCTTAGGTAGTGTTTATGGGTGGGTAATCATTGCATAATCTGGCCACTTGGAACAAGTAGACATGGATCACGCAAACATAGTAAAGATATCTACCAAACTAGAAAACAGAAAAGATAAATGACTACCAAAAACAGTAAGCCATGTACTAAAGTGAAACTACAACACTCTACATTCATACATTTCCACCAACTCATAATTCATCAACATTTTTCAATTTCTAGAACAAGAAACAATCTAAAATCCATTGAAGAGAGGTGCTACTTGGAAAAGGATCAACAAGTGAAAAGGAAGTCCCAATATAGTTTCATGTAAATCAAACTGGCATTCATATTCATATAGAAGATAGCTCAAACCCCTAGCTTAAAATCCACAAATAAGCTCAAAACCTAACTTCAAAAACCCATCAAAACAAATTATCCCTAAACTCAAAACTTCACCAAAATGGAACTATACGCATAACCTGGTTCACAAGTTAAACCAACAATTTGATCAACGAAACGCACTGAAATCAAACTAACATGTACAATGAGATACCCTATAGCAAAATCAAATAAGGTACCCAAATTTGTTAGCTTTCATTTTCAAACCCACCAGAATGGCTACAGGAACAGGGTGCAGCAGACGACGAGATCGTTTATTGTTTTGAGTACGTTTTCCTTAATCAAGGGCAGGTATGGAAATCCAATTTTCTTAATAAAATCATGAGTAAATTAGATTTGGTCCCTATGGTTTGAGGTTTCTTATGAAATTGGTTTCTAAATTTCATTTATTACAGAAAAACCCTTAAAAGGTTGTATTTTGTTTTGGAATTGGTTCCCTCCATACCTCTCTTGAGCTATGCTGTAAAAATCGCGATATATCGGCGATATATCGGATATCAGCCGTAGAAAAAATATCGTTTCATAAATATCGCCCAAAATATCGTTCCCGATAATATCAGCGATATTGTCCGATTTTTTCCCGATATTTAGCGATATTTTGAGGTAAATATCGACCAATATATCGATATTTTTTAGGGTTCAATTTTTTGGGCTTCTCTTATTTATGGGCTTAGATTTTTTGGATAAGTTAGGTCTCAAAAATCTGGCTAACATTTCCTTCACGCCAACGGTCTGCCTCCATTCCCTTTCTTTTCATCTTTACGACTCGACTTCACAGTTCACACTTCATCTTTTCACGAACGAGTAATCGACAGCAACAACAGCAACCAGCAACAACAGCAATCGACAGCAAGTCAGCAACAGCAACAGCAATCGACAGCACCTGAGTTCCTTGGTGACTCCCTGAGTTTATGCAGCGACAGCAACAGCAACAGCAGCCACCTGAGAGTTCCTGGTGACTCCCTCTGTCCCTCAACAGTTCCTGGTCCAGCCTCGAGGTCTTACTCTTATGTCCTAACTCCTAAGTCCTATCACCCACCCACTCACTTAATTATTCTTATTTATCTTAGTTAGAAGTTAGAACTTAGAAGTTAGAACTTAATTACTAAACAAAGCAATGGAAAGTAGAGAAGGGGGTCAATCTTCAATGGCATCTGTGACCCCAATTACTACTACTACTACTTCATCAGACGCAGGTACAAAATGCGTCAGTGGTGATATGGCTTGGGAATGGGGGGTATGGAAAGATCCAACCAAAAAAAATAATRTATGGTGTACCTTATGTGATAAAAAAATGAGTGGAGGGATCACTAGGTTGAAAGAACACCTTACTCACACCGGAAGTAACGTCATTGGTTGTCCTAATGTGAGTAATGACATCAAGAAAAGAGTTCTAGCATCCATTAGTGAAAAGAATAAGAAAAAGAAAGAACAAAATAGAAATGTAGAAATCCTTCGACAATATTCGGTTGAAGTTGATGATATTGATGATATTGATGAGGATGAGCAAGACGTAGATGGAATAGA